ATATTGATCTATCGCCCTCCAATGAAAACTAAAATACTTATCAACTAACTCCCTCCAATGAGAAAGTATAATGATCTAAAATACTTAGTTTTGGTTTAAGGCATGGAAGACTTCTGGGATGCTAAATTGATAAAATTATGCATATTGAGAAAATAAAACATGGAGTAAACTCAAAGCTCCTAAAAGTAAACTAAAATAAAACCTTAGGATCATTACTGCCATGTCTGAATTTTTAGAGAAATCCATGATGATATCTTTTGCCATATTCTTAGTTTTTCTATATGGATTGATTGGAACCTGAGTTGGTTCCAAAACGAAGGTTAGTTTCCTTGTAATACAACTCTATATTAATGCATAAATTTATGAAGGTTGATCCTTTAATATTTGGCCTCAAACAAAAATTTAAAAAGTCCTAACACCATGCGCAGCATATGTGCCTGTGGGGTTTCTTCAGTGATTGGCATCTTCTCAGGCTCCCCATATGTGGCACATGTACTAGAATATATCAAAGTCCTAACACCATGCGCAGCCATTGACTCTAGGACCACCAAGGTGTTTGAAGTAATGTTGTGATAATACCTACAAATCATGGGAATATATAGCATAAAGAACATAATTTGGAGATTAGTTTAAATCATGCAAAAACTTCCCAATCAAAGATCAAGGAGTTAATTTTAAATGTCAAAAAGATAAATGATTTTTAATAACACAGCTAATGCAAATACAAGAGGACATTTGAATGGTGATGGTGTTAGAAAAAATCCATCTAGAGAATGCATATAAAAGTTGGATTTACCCGAAACCCATCAAGGAAATGAAAAGCAGGAATTTCATGGTAGATACACCGAAGGAAATGAAAAAAAGATGAATTTACCCGAAAGTAAAAACAAAAGAACATTAATGGGACATTGAATGAGACCAAGAAAATAACAAAAGAAGAGAGGAACCCTGAAGAAGAACATATTTCCTAGTCTTTATCGAGAGGGAAGAACTGCTGGGTCACGGGAGCCGGTTAATTCTCCATGTAGCCTCTTCTTCTTCTTCGTGAGGCACTGAGAAATCAAAAATCCTGCTACTTCTCTTCTTTAACCCCGCTTTAACTCGCTCACCATCTTCTTCTTCCGATCCATCCTCGACCACCAAAGCTGAAGAACTTGAATTCGACATGGATCCGACCCATTTTCCCTTGTCTTCATTACCGTCTACGGAAGTCTTCTGTGACGAACAACAACCCTCGGATTCATTGTCTCTCGGTTGTTGATACGGCGAGTCATTGAGATCCCACATTTTCCCCTCTTTCTCAGCTTATAATCTCCACCAAAAAAAACAACAAACTTAAGAAAATATCCTCACAAAAAAAGTAAACCCAAAAAATTCAGAGAGAAAACTAGAAAAAGCCTCGGTCTTTTTTCTCCCTTTACTTTGTAGATAAACAATGAGGGGGAATGGCGAAACCAGTGGACTGATGCAAAGAGAAAAAGGGAAAAAAGAGAAAAAGGGGAAGTATGGGGCGTGAATTGATTATCGAGGGGGAAGAAGCGGGAAAGGATGAAAATAATAGGGAAAATTAAAAGACGACTTTTACAGATGACACACAATTAAAAGTGTACTCCGTGTTTTTGCAAATTTTTTGGATTATGACTATTAAATATGACACACATTATTGTAAGTCATAAATCGTTCAGATTTTAAAAAAACATGACATTTTTTTATGACACATTTTTTGCAAGTTATAAATTAGTGTGTGTCATCGTTCGTGTGTCATTAAAGGTATATTTTCTTGTAGTGATCATTACTCAAGCTAGAATATCGATACTCCCCCTTCCATTTCAGTTCTCAATAGTCAGATGATATCAATAACTAGAGGTTAGTATCGATACGTAGGGGTCAGAACCAATACTGAAGGGCTGAGTATTGGTACTCATGAACAATTTTGTGTAAGAAACCCAAGGGTTTAAAGGGATAGATTTGAGGGACCCAATAATACCAAAAAGCCATAAAATAAAATTACAAGTGAGAATAATAATAAACTCAGAACAACTAGAAACAATAACAACCATGATGACATAAAATTAGCCTTATTTAATGCTCGAGAAACAGTAAGAACATCCGAGTTTCTGTAGCAGATAACGATCGTACGGTTCAGATATATCGTAGTTAGTGCCAAGGTACTTTAATTACTAGTTGGGCGCAGATGCCCTAGGACTTAACGGAGTAAAGTTGGTAGGGTGTACGTTTCTAATGCATTTTTTTTTATCTCACCCCATATATCTAAAGTTATTTTAGGAAGGTTAAAGGGGTGTGAGCTCCGAGATATAGAACCCTAAGCCACACCATGATGTCTACCTTAATATTTTATGTCAATATTCTTATGTCTTTATACCTATGCCACTAGCATGCACATTTAGTGAATGCATGTAGTATAATAAAATTATTAGTGTGACACTGAGCTCGTAAACTTAGCATTTGAAATGTGTTTTCGTGTGCAGGTTCTTAAGTGACCGTCTGTTGAGCATTATCGTCGTCAGAAGTTTCAAATCAACCGAGAGTACATCTTGATTTATATTAGAGGGCATGTATTATTGTAGACCCTTTTTCTATTTAGTCGTAACTTTTTTTTTGTATTGAACTTAGTTTGATATTATTTTGAATATTTGGGAGTTCCCCGTATTTGTAAATTCAAATGTATTGTATTTTTATGTTATATTGTTATGGATGATTTTTTATATAATGATTTACAATTATTTTTATAAAAAAAATTTGGGTTAACCATTTTAGTGGTCTCCTATGACATCGTAATCCATCAATTTTTGGGTCGGACTAAATTAAAGTGTTACATAGTTGCTTAAATACAAGGTTGATTTCAACCCCTAAGGTCTTTTGTTTAACAAGAATTAAAGGTTAAATAAAAGTTAGAAAATGTGTTGAATGATCGACCAAAGAATTAGGTCGGTAAGAGTGAAAACTTATATAGTAAAATTTTTTTTAGAAAAATTTAATATTTTATCTTTTTATAAATATTTTACTTCTTTAAATAAATTTCCAAATATTTTATAATTTTAAATAATTTTATAAATATTAATTTATTATTTTTAGTTACTAAAACACTTTTTAAAATATTTTTTATTTATTCGGAAATTTTATATTTTTAATCTTTTATTTATTTTTAATAATTTTTACTTAATAATTAAATAGATCCTCAAAACTTTTTACAAAATTCAATCAAATTCTTTTATCATGTCATCAATTATACATTAACCACCACATTACAATAACGATTAATTATGAAAATTATTGGTTAAAAAATTTAACAAATAAAATTTGCTGCTTAAAAAATCCAACTAAATATAAAATAAGAAGAGATTTAATTATAACTTTTTATTAAAAAAAATTAAAAAACTTATTATACTCTCAAGACATTATAAAAGAAGGATGTACAAAAATATCAAATCTATAAAAGCATATATACATATATATAAGTATGATATGTTATTTAATACAAAAACTTTGTAAAATTTAAATTTTAATAATATATTTACTCGAATACTACCTAATACACTTGAAAAATTATAAATCTTAAATTTTAGATATAAATTTTAAATTTTAAATTTTAAATTTTAAGTAAGAGGTATAGCCCTAACTTGCTAAATGGAGTATACATTGATTCCTATAGATATTATTGCATTACATGCTGACACGTAACTTTAGTATTTATTTTTTTGTGGTGTTTTTTGTGTGGAAAAATGAGGAAACTGGGAAGAAAAGAAAAGGAAAATAGTATGCTACTATTTTTTGTAATTATTTTATTTGTTTAGAGATATATAATTTAGGGGTTGTTTGTTTATTTCAGAATGATTAAACGCTGAATGATTCAATGGCCTGAATGATTCAGAGGCTCTGTATGAATTAGCTCTGAATGTGACATGATGTTTGATAATGACTCTGAATCATTCAGAATGTACTTTGATGTTGAATCATTCAACACTGTTTTTCTGAATCATTCAACACAGTCTTGCTAAATCATTCAACACAGTCTTCATTCAGAGGTTAAAAACAAACACGCTGAATGCTGAACGGTTCAGCATTCAACGCTGAATGGTTCTATTCAAAGCCAAACAAGCAACCCCTTAGTAATTGATAAGCGATGCACATTAACTAAAAGGGTAAGTACACAAATGGTCCCTCAATTATAGAATATTATTTTTTGAGTCCCTATACTATTAAAAGTTATAAAATAATCTCTTGATTATAAGGTGTTATTTTGTTAAGTCCTCAAACTATTAAAGTTATAAATATTTAGCTGATTATTCATATGTTCCAAACTTATTCTTTTCTGCAACTGTTTGAGTTGGGCGTTAACATGCTGATTAAAATATGATAAATCATATTTAATGATGTCTACTAGTACCATCGTTATTTTTAAGCATTGGCTCAACAATATAATGTTTCAATCGCTAGCTCGATGATATAATGTAAATGAAGAGTTAATCCATAAATATAGCTCAAATAGTTATGAGATCGGACTTTATCATATCTTAACCAATATGTCAATGTCCAACTTAGATTACTATCAATATTTTTAACAACAAATGATGAATTTGGAACATATGAATAGTTATGTGACTATTTTATCACTTTTAATGGTAGTAAACTCAATAAAACAACATCCTATAGTGAAATGACTATTTTGTAACTTTTAATAATAGGAGATTTAACAAAACAATGCTCCATAATCAAGGGACCATTTGTGTAATTTACCCTAACAAAAATCAGTTTAAACAATTTTCATAAATGTGATTACTAGTGTTGCTTAAATGAATAAAGTAATGAAGCGAAGTTGGGTAACACAGATTCCTTTAAAAACGGGCGAACCACGTGGCAGGCATACAATTCCTGGTGGGCTTAGTAACAAAAGCAACACTTTATTTAATAATTCACTTTTGGAAAAAGTTTCGAGTTTTTGAATTTATTTTGGTAATCACTATGGAAGGCGTCTTTGGACAATTCATAATTGCAAACCTTTAAACTAAAACCCAAGCAAACGATTCCTCCGCCGCCGGCGGAGCTCCTCCTCTCGTCTCGGCTCTCGCTTCTCCTCCTCCTCCGACGTGTTTGGAACTCCAACTTGTTAACCGCTAACGGTAAACCGCGAAGAGAGGTGAAATGCTCTTAATTTTCTGTTCTTTTCTCTTTTTACATTTGATTCTTATGAAAGGAAAGCAAAATTTTTCTATGCCAAGGAGTAACCTACTTGAATCATAAAAACAAAAAACAAAAATCAAGAGATTGTAGGGCTGGTAGGCTGAATTTTGATCCTTATTGAGCTACTTAGATCGTTTTCATGGACTATAGACTTAGGTTTTCCGCTCCTTATCCACAATTAAATTGGATTTCATTTTCGAAAAACGTTATAAATTGGAGTTGGACATGCTGCTGATTATGACTTTTATAATATTTATTTGGCTCTTATTGTTCGCTTTCGTTCCTTCATCCCTTATTATTCTGAAGTCATGTGTCTTCTTGTATCTCTTTCATGCTCCTATATTTACTTTTTTTTTTCGGTTTAATTGTTTTTTGTGATTTGATGTTTGTGTTCAGTCTTGCTAAGTGCTTCTGCCTCTTCGTTTCAGATGCCAGACTCGTCCAAGGATCTAGATAAACATGATGCTGACTCTATGCAACATCCGAGGGAAGGTAGTGAATATGTTAGGTTGGTTGTTTCTAATGAACCGACTGCAGATGGTATGAACGTCTTGCTTCCTCGATCACCCACCAGGAGTAAAACTTTCAGCTGGTGGATCAAAGCCTTTGTGTGTTGCATTTTCATAATGATATTGATTCTCGTTTTTTTTAAATGGGGAGTTCCATTTCTTTTCGAGAAGGTACTTGCTGATTACTGATAGCTTTCTTCTCATTCTCTCTCTACGGCTTCTATCTCTTATTTTTTTTGCATGTGACACAAGTGGCGTTCATTGTTTTTGTGTGTGCAATTTGTTTCCTTGAGTTGTTTGGTTAATTCCAGCAAAAGGAAAATGTAACTATAGAAAAATGAAGTATGACCTAAGCGAAGAAAGGGACACTTGTTGATGCTTTTCAGAGGAAATAATGTTTATCTTGTACCTGTTTAGTTTGCATGGGAGTTTTGGATGCCTAAAACCATTTTTCAATAATCTTAGTTTTCAGGCTTTGCATGTTGTTTAAGATTGCGTTCTTTAAGTGTACTCTCCATGTGATAACTGAACTTTAGTATTTGATGAATTTTCAATTTAACTGTAGGTTCTAATCCCAATCATGCAATGGGAAGCTACTGCCTTTGGTCGACCCGTTCTTGCTGTTGTGCTTGTTACTTCTCTTGCTGTGTTTCCTGTGTTCTTCATACCTTCTGGTCCCTCCATGTGGTTAGCTGGGATGATTTTTGGCTATGATCTTGGGTTCCTCATAATTATGGTTGGAACAACCATTGGAATGGTTCTACCGTATTTGGTTGGACTGCTTTTCCATGAGCGTATCCATGTAAGACTTCTAATTGGTTTCAGCTAATTTTTAAATAGTTACTTAGGAAACTTGATCTTCAGTCCTGCTGTCTCTGATCTTTTTTTTCTCTTGCATGGGCAGCACTGGTTAAAGAAATGGCCCCAGACAGCTGCTGTGGTTCGACTTGCAGGAGGAGGAGACTGGTTCCATCAATTTAAAGTGGTTGCTCTCTTTAGAGTTTCACCTTTTCCTTACACAATTTTCAACTATGCAGTTGTGGTAACCAGCATGAAGTTTTGGCCCTACTTATGTGGATCGATCACTGGAATGATTCCAGAAGCTTTTATTTATATCTACAGGTATGCGATGTGAACAAATAATGTTAAATTTATGGTACTTTTCGGAGTCGAACAAATCATGTTAAATTTATGGTACTCGTAGGAGACGAACAAATCATTTTAAATTTATAGTACTTGTAGGAGTCCCTGAAATTTATTTAATTTGTTGAATTGAGCCTTCTGTCCTCATACCTCCAGGCTCCGAATGAGGTATATTATAGAAATTGTGCTTGCAATGTCATGTCAATCAAGTGAAATCAAAACTAGTTCCTTGTAGGGTGCTAACTGCCAAGTTAAGATGATGGTGTCCCTTACAATATTTTGCTGGTGCAGTTAAAATTACCTAATCATTGCTAATTATGATTGGACATTGCATGATTGCATCTTTGAAAACACTCCCTCAAGTACCGACTGTTCGGGTTCTGTCACCGCTATATACCACCTTAATACCATAACAGGCAGACACCATCAAGCCATCATACACAATGGAAGATCATTGCTTCCCCATCTTTCTATTTTGACCTACCATAAGAAAGTGGCCAAAGGCTAAATTCCTTGTGCGTGAGTGCTGTTTTGAAGCTCAAAATAAAAAACCAAAATACAAAAAGTTCACCAATCCGTGCTGATATCCTGATGCCATCAGCTCCACAAATTGTTAATGCCATTCAACCGGATGCCCTGTATCCCATAACTATCAACCGTAGAAATTAGAAGTTGAGAAATGGGAAGGGAGTGGAGAGAAGAAAGGGTGTCGGGTTACATTCGAAGTTAAATCAAGGTGAAGTGGTGAACTCAAGTAACACTCCTGGAAACAAGTAAGATTAGAGGATGAGAAAAGGAGGGAGGGAATTGTTCAGACCAAACCATTTAGTTAGGGTGAGAAGAAAAGAATATAGGAGATACCACCTTTGCTAGCATAATTTGGGATGGTTTTGAAGGCAAATGACGAGGAGGTTAAGGATGAGTTGCTTTAATCTGCAGAAAGGAGAGCAAAAATGGGCAAAAAGAAAACAAAATGGTCAAGAATTTATGCCACTGTTTTGAAGTATAAATTATTTCACTTTTATTTTGATGTTATATATTGCTGGTGGTACTGGGTACTATGGTTGAAAACTAACTGTTCACTTTACCTCTTGTGCAGTGGTCGGTTAATAAGAACATTAGCCGATGTTCGATACGGCAACCATCACTTCACCACTGTGGAAATCGTATACAATGTTGTTTCCTTCATCATAGCAATTATCACCACAGTTGCTTTTACAGTTTATGCAAAGAGAGCTTTAAACACTCTTGGTAACCGAGAGTCCAACGTGGAGGACGGGTCCGCCTCTTACCAGGGTAGCCTAGAGATGGAGAAGCTTCCTGATGAAAAGAGGTAAGCTTGTTTGACTAATTGATTTAACGAGTTAGGAATGTATATTGCATGGGACTTAGGTACATGGTGATCATTTCTCAGTTTTCATCTTTTGAGACTAGATTTCTTCTGTTGATATTTGTGTGTAAATAAAATTAAACTGGGAAAAATATACCATACAAAATTTGACATGTTTGCGAAACCCCTTCTTCCCTGTTTGCTTTGCGCCTATGGCATATTAAAATGGTCCGACTAGAGGCGAGCATTCGATCGAGTCGAGTAAAAAAATTTAGAGTTATTCAAGTTGATGATCCCTATTTTAAAATTCAAATTTCATTTGAAATTTTTTCGAGTTGAGTTTATAAAATTTGAGTTAAGTTGAGTCAAATTTTTGTTTAAATTTAATTTTATATTTATAATATTATGATACTATTTGATTCAAATTTAAATGTTTTCTATGACCATATACAAGACAGACATATTCTTCATATATTTTCATTTGTTACATACATATATTATAGAGAATTGAGGGACTTGACTCAAATTTGGAAATTAATCTTCTGATTACTAAAAATTTCAAGTTATTTGAGTTCTATTTTATAATTCGATTTGAATTTGAATTTTTTTAGTTGAGTTTATAGAATTATGAGTCAAGTCAATTCAAATTGATTTTTTTTTTAAATCTAGTTGAAAAGATCATTTTTTCTAGTTGGGTTTTGTTCAACCCTAGGTCTGATTAGTAGGTGGTTTCTGATAATTTGGGTTGGCTTGAGTCGACATGAGTTGCAATGTTTTACGGTGAGCTAAGCAAAAAAAAAAGGGGGGGGGGGAATTATGATGGCAACCGAGCTATTTGTAAATTGTAAGGTCTGCATTATTACCAATTTTATAAAATGTGTAATTAAGAATTTTGTTTCCAAATTATAAAAGTTGTTAATAATTTTTGTGTAGTACTTAAATATTCATATAATTGCATAAAATAGTAATTAATTCATAACATTTTGTGTAATTGAAATAATTTATATAATTGGTAATACTTAATGTAATTTCTTTTAGAAATTTACCCAAGTGACTAATTGTGTGTTTATGAACATACTCTAAATGGCTAAACTATAAAATAAGCCCTTGAACGCATCAATTTTTTTCTTAAATGCTTATATGTCTCTTATTTTTATTTTGTTGTTTTTGAAGTGATATAAGTGCAACTCCAAAAAACTACAAAAAGAAGCCCTTGAACACGGTAAAATTGTCCAATGGATCACGTGGATAAAAAATTAGCTCAATCAGGTTGTCTTTAAAATTATTTTGAGGTTTACGGCAAATACAACAGTGTAGGATAGACTCATCACATTTAAATGTCGAGTTTGTCTAAATAATATTTTTTTTATTTGAACTTATTATGTTGATATGATGAATTTTAATAAAAATATATTTTTTTGTTAAAATTTTATCACATTAAGCTAAAAAATTTAAATAAAAAATATATTTTATTAGAATTCACTATATTAATGTGATGAGTTTGAAGTTATTATAACAAATGTTGTATACTCCTAAATAATTTGTTTTATTTCGTATTAGGTTAAATAATTAATTCCCTTATGGTGTTGAGTCAATTTTACCTTCAACGCTTTGTTTTCTTTTTCTTCTCTTTTTCATATAAGCTCTTATTTTTCTATGCAGTTGTTTTTGAAAGTGTTATAAGTACAATTTCTAGAAGAATTGCACAATCTGAGTTACTACAAAAAGAACAATATTATAATGCATAATAAAATTGATAATTAAAATGTATTCTCATTTAGATAGATATAAACTTAAATACAGTTTATTTATACAAAATGAAATTTAAATTAATATTGAATCTATAAATAGAATTTACACGTTAGTCAATATTATTATAATTATTATTGATTGAACTCAAATAAGCGGTTCAAATTAATTTACGATAAGGATATTCTTCCTATTTTACTTTAGTGTAAATATAGTCATCGCCATTTTCTTTTAAAAAAAAGAGTAAATTAATCTTCTTAAATTTTAAAATATTATTTAAAATAAAAAAACTAAAATCAAGTCATTCTTAAATATAAAAATTACAAAATGAAGGCTTAAATGCATTTTTGGTTGCTCTAATCATACCCTAACAAGTGAGCCATCAGTTTCAATTATGTATCAATTAAATTTTTATTTGAACAAACATTTGAGCCTTCCAATTATAATTATCGTTAATCACACTAATTATCATTAAATTTGTTGATGTGATAGTATCTAATTAGTTTATATTTATTTATTTTTCTTTAAAATAATTAATTTTGTTTATTCTCGAACATAAAGATAATATTGAAACCCTTTAACATGAAAGCGAATAATTGACAATTTATCATTGTAAATAAAAATGATCAAATAGTTATAAAATAAAAATAACGAAACAATATGAATAACAAGCCAGCGGTGTTGGTACAATTGATTAAGATTTAGGAATTTGAGTTTGTAATGCCAAGTTTGAATCCTACTACTATCATTTTTTGTGGGCAATATGTAAATTTCTATGTGAATCTCAATTAGGTCTTAAATGTGCATTGACTTTGGACTAGGGATCCACCTTTGACCTAAACTTTTTTGTAAAAAAAACAATAAGAATAACAAGAAATGAGGATAAAGAAAAAAATATTATTATCTCAATATGAATTATTTACACTTTACAATATTTCCTCTTAAGTCTATATCTATAGACATAAGGAGAAGATATCGTGTAGAAATTTAATCATAATAGAGATAAAGTCTTATTTAATATATATTGTTCTATTCAATATCAAATGATTTATAGTTATATTTGAACAAATATTATCTTGTATTTACCTCATGTTACTAATAATAATAATAATAATAATAATAATATAATAATAATAATAATAATAATAATAATAATAATAATAATAATAGATATCCACATAAACGAATATTCATAACACTCCCCTTTGAATATCTATGAAGTTAACATTGTCTTGTTAAAATCTTACCAAGATAAAAATCTTGTGAGAAAAAATCTTAGAGATGGAAAAATAATACACATATTTTAACACATATAACATGTTGCCTCACTAGAAACCTTATTAGGAACATCTAATATGACAAAACCTCAATTAAGGGGAAAAAGTATGTGTATTTGCTCTCCTCGTGATAACATCATCTAAGATCTTTAAGTCTTCACAATTCAATTTTGAATACAATCTTAAAATGTTGAAATAAACAATGTACTGATGAATAATCTTCTACTTGCCGCTTGATCAAGTTTAATGAATATTTATATTATTATTCTTTTAAAGATCACGAGAGAAGAAATTTTAAGATCGAAATTCATCACTATATCAGTAGATTCACTTAGTCAGACCTAACTCTCACCAAGGCTCAACCTCAATCCTGTTTCTAACGTGGTTCAATGGGTACACAATTTGACAAAATATCATTTTAAAAAATTGAAGATGATACAATTCATGTTGATAATGTGTTAAGAAAGAAAATATGAAAATAGAATAGACAACAAAGCGACATATACAAATTGAGAAGAGATAAGTCTTCTATTATTTATGTATTATGAACTCTACAAAAATAATTAGAACCATATGGTAAAAAAGAAATGTTATAACCCTAATGAATCCTCCTGGTCTTCAGAAAATTCCTCCAACTCCCAAAACTGTCAAGTCGTCATCTGATGACGGGCGACATACTAAAAGACCCCGACGTATCGGTGGGAAACACAGACGGCAAGCGAACCCCATTGGTTCCTGATCCTGATCGGCAACCAACCCTATGACATCCAACATTATTTCTTCATCTAAACCCCAAAACGCTAATGGGGAACAATAAAACGAACCTAGCCCTAACTGATTCCATCATCGATGAAGATGAAATTGAACTTCTCGATGGAGATGTGATCCGTAGTGTGGTCGACGATCTCATCTCCATTGACTTCTCGGAAAGGATCATAGACTTGACTGAAAAAAACTTCGATCAAACAGTGGTTGTTAAACTTTTGGGACGTAGAATTGGTTACACCACACTTCTCAACTAGATCTATGACATATGGAAGCCTTCGCAACTTGTCCGGGTAATGGATATCGAAAATGATTATTTCTTAATAACTTTCAAAACCCACCAAGATTACTCAAAAGCCCTGACGGAAGGACCCTGGATGATATTCGGTCACTACCTGAGCTTGGAACCGAGGATAGTTGATTTCACGACCTCTCAATCGCACCCTAAGCAGATTATCGTCTGGGTTCGGCTTCCTAGATTACCGACCACCCTCTATAAACAGAGTTTAATAATTGAAATTGGTGAATACATTGGTCCAGTTCTCAAGCTCGACTACAAACCAAGTGTGGACGGAGAGGGCGCTTCGCTCGTATGGCCATAACAATATACCTTGACAAGCCGCTTGTATCAAAAATATTAATCAATGGTCGACTCCAAGTGGTTAATGTTGATAAATCAGGAAATGTAAACGAAAGAACACAAGAATTTTAACGAGGTTCGGCAATGTGCTTAAGTCCTCGGTGCCTAGGCGGCGCTAGAAAATTTTATTCAATTCTCATAGGTTTAGGTTACATCTCTATTTATAATAGAAAACCCTGGTACATAATTACAAAATTAACCCTGTACCGTACCGCGGGGCGCTGCCCCCGCACCCCAACCCACATAATCGTAACCCCCTCTACGAGACTTTTTTTGTAAGGACAGTTAATGTTCGCTTCGCTCACTCCGCTCTATCCTCTATCCTCTTTACCGGTATATTTATGAGCCATACCTTACAGTTAAGTATGAAGCTCTTCCAACGGTTTGCTTCGATTGTGGAAAATATGGGCATGTTAAAGACATTTGTCCATCCAAGGCTTCTGCTACTACTACAGTGCCGCCCGTTGCCCTTCTTCACCGACCCCAGCTCTGGAAAATTTTGACTTTGGCCCTTAGGTGCTAGTTAAAGAAGACAACGTCTTCAAACCACCAAAAGTAATGAAACTTGTCAAACCTAAAAGACCAATCTTATAATGATTCGCGGTTCAATCCTATTTTCGAAGATACCAATGAAGGTCAAACCGAACAAAACCCCCACACTCCTATTGAAGATACCCCAGATGACCAAGGTGAACCTAATTTGAAGCTCAAAACATTGGCCTCAAATAAGAGTAAATCATCAGCGTTACCTAAGATACCTAAGCCAAAGATCTCTAGCCAAGTTAAAAAACCACAATTGGTGAACACTCCTACCCTTTAAGAGTGCAATTGCTTCTTCCAGTCGACCAATAAATGCAATTCAGTCTCAACGAAACGACCTTATGACCAAAACCAGCACAAAACTAAACCATGAGAAGCATGCAATTATTCAACTAAATGAAAATTCAGACCCAAATGTGGTTCTGTCGAGCGATGAAACTACTAACCCACCTGACCCTCCCGCTCTGATGGAAATTACGTGACAGTACGAGAGTAATATACCGCCTGGTATTCAATCTAAGCAGCCTGGAGTGCTCATTTTTCGACGAGCTTCTGAGCAGACTCCCATAAACTTGCCTACGGAAACCGGGGTAGCGTCGATGGACGAATAACTCATCGGTTTCGTTCCTCTCCTTCGCTTTTAATAATGATTAATTTTTTTGTCTGGAATGTTCAGGGTTTAGAAATTCCTAAATTTATTTCTATGGCTAAGCAATTTATTCGTGATAACAAACCTGATGTGCTGGGTTTATCGAGCCAAGAATTAGTGGCTTCAAGGCTGAGTTTGTAATTTCTTCTATTGGTTTTCCTAACTCTCATCGTATTGAAGCTTTTGGATTCTTTGGAGGCATTTGGCTCTGTTGGTACGATACTATTCAGATTGAGGTTTTATGGCATCACTTTCAATTTATTCACTTTCGTGCTCAGCAGAAAAGGGATCACATCTCTACTCTTGCTACTCTTTTGTATACCAGCCCGACCAAGTCTAAAAGGAAGTTTCTTTGGTCTCATCTCAGTGCTCTTGCCTCTACCATTCGTTCTCCTTGGGTTCTTATCGGTGATTCCCTCTATGCTTTTGACCGCAAGGGTTGCGTTTCCACAACCACTGCCAGTAAAGATTATCAGAACTTTTTCTTTACTATGGGTTGCTTGAACCTCGGTTTCCAAGGCCCGTATTTCACTTAGAACCTGGGCCACACTTATGCTCGCCTTGATAGGGCCCTCTGCAACTCTTCTTGGCATGAACAATTCCCTGAAACTGTTGTGCGCCACCTCTTTCGGGTCCGCTCTGACAACCGCCCTCTACTCCTTTGTGTTGGTAACCGACCCAGAGGTCGACTACTCGCCAATTTCGATATTTCTCTGGATATCTTTCCCATGATGACTTTGGCAGGATGGTTCGGGATAACTGGAAGCCAGCCATCCGAAACTGTTTCAAACTTTATCACTACTGTTAAGGATTGGAACGAAAATGTTTTTGGTTATATTGGTAAGAAGAAACGTGGCATCATGGCTAGACTAAGGGTTGTTCAACGAGCTCTTGAACGAAGACACACTGCTTATCTCTCCTCCCTTGAGCTCGAACTCCAAACTGAGATGGAATCTGTTCTTGATCAGGAGGAACTTATGTAGAAGAAAAAATCTAGATCGGACTGGATTCTTCATGGTGATAGAAACACCAAATATTTTCATCAAAAAGTCGTCAAATGGAAAGCTAAGCCGTATTTCTTGTCTTCGACTCGCTGATAATGAGCGGTGTGATGATGATTCAAGACTTTAAATCAAGGCCATCAAATTTTTTCCATAACCTTTACTCCGACACGGAAAGCAACCGAGGTCCCTTCTATTTTTTTTTGGATGCTTTCTTCCAATACCCTCCACCGACCACATTACCTTGGAGGTAATCTAATCCGCCGGAGAGATCCACTCTGCCCTCCTTGACATGAAGCCACTGAAAGCTCCTAGGCCTGACGGAATCCATGTCAAATTCTTCGAGAAAAATTGGCATAGTATACGCCCTAAGGTTTGCCGCATGGTTCAATCAGTCTTCAATGGACATCCGATCGATCCAACTCTTCATCGTACAACCATCGTGCTCATTCCCAAGATAGAGAATCCATAATCAATGATCGATTTTCACCTGATTAGCTTGTGTTCTATCCTATACAAGCTCATTACCTAAGTTATTGTAAGAAGACTGAAGCCTATTATGCCTCATCTAATTAATCAGGCTCAAACAAGCTTTATTTCGAGAAGATCAACCACTGAAAACATAATCCTAAACCAGGAAGTTGTTCACTCCATGTGGAACAAGAAATCAACCAGTGGTTGAATGAAAATCAAGGTGGAACTTGGAAGAGAAAGCTTTTGACAGAGTGAAGTGAGATTTCATCCATGAGACTCTTATCGATACCGGTATTCCCACTCGACTTTCTCAAATCATTATGGGTTGTATATCTTTTTCCACCATGCAAATTCAATGGAATGGTGCTCTCACAACTTCCTTCAAGCCAGAGCGAGGCATCTGGCAGGACGATCCACTTTCCCCTTACATATTTACCCTTGTTATGGAAAAGCTCGGTCACAGTATTCGCCAGAGAGTTCCCTCGGGCCATTGGAAACCGTTCCGTTTTAATCGAAATGGTACTTCTCTGTCCCATATTTTTTTGGCAAATGACCTTATCCTCTACGGCAAGCCTGACCTGGATCAAGCCAGACTAATCCACACGATTCTATCCGAGTTTGGCCACTACTCCGGCCATAGAGTTAGCTCTTGGAAGACGCATATCTACTTCTCCCCTAACACGAATTTGATCTTCAAAATTCTGTATGTGCCTTGCTTGGCTATCAATCGGTTGATACATTGGGAAAGTACTTGGGTGCTCTGGTTATTCATGGTCGTATCTGTAGTGCCGATTATGAGTTTATTTTGGACAAGATATGGGCAAGATTAAATGGATGGGCAACTCGTGTACTTCATGCAAACCTCTCGATTACCTTCAGGTGTTTGTAGCGAGATAGACAAAATTGTTCACCAATTCATTTGGGGCTCGACCACTACTACTAGGAAGACTCCTCTCGTTAATTGGGATGTGCTCTGTCAACCAATCGATAGGGTTGGTCTCGACGTTGACCGTTCTTATAACCATAACACCGCCTTCCTCTGGAAATATGGATACGCTTTGGTGGTCATGCCGAACGCCATGTGGATCCAAATGCTTCGCCAAAAATACCGAATGACCGACCTTTGCCCCGAGTCCATTGCCAGGTCTTGCTACTCACCAATGTGGAGAGATTTATCCAACACTTGGGATTTGTTTCGCATGAACATTCTTTGGCTTCCAAGTAGAGATGTACATAGCCGGATTTAAATCCGATCCGGATCGGATAAAAATCGATCCGGTTTTTTCACCAAGCCAAAAAACCGGTTTATAAAAAAATCGGTTCGGATAATAACCGGTTTGGAGGGCCGGATGATGTAACCGGTTTCGGTTTGAAAAAAACCAGTTTTTAATCCGGTAAAAAATCCGGTCATTCAATTTTTTAAACCCCAGACCAGATTTTTTTCCAGATAAAAAACTGGTTTTTTAACCGGTTTTTTTCAAACCGGTTTTTAATCCGGTAAAAAATCCGGTCGTCCAATTTTTTCCCAAACCGTTTATACTATCCGGTTTTAAAATATCCGATCCGGTTTAAAAAAAGCTGGTTTTACCCAAATCCAATTTCGGATATCTTTTTCACAAAATCTGATATTCGAATTTTTTGAGCACCTCTACTTCCAAGCAATATGAAACACGTCTGATTTTGGGATGACTGGTGGGTCCCCAATCTTGGGGCCCATCCGTAACCACATTATACCTTAAAATCAAATTGAGGAAGATGTTGTTTTCGATGAAGTTCTTGATGGTAATGGCAACAAGGATCAGCACTGTTAAGAATGCAGTAAAGAAAGAAGAATACTAGTATATTGATCATTGAAAAACTGCACTTGGATTACAAGACTTCAACTGTTTATATACAACTTCTAATGACTATTATAAGCTGAGCTATTTTTACAACTGATGTTGACAACCTTAACTGCTACAAACAACTTCAAGAAGCTGCCAACTACTTAACTAACATCACCATGCAGACTAAGCACGAGCAGCATTGTTATTGACCCATCATGCTAACATTCCTTCTACTTCTTCTGTCCTTCCTCACTTATTTGAACTTTCCTTTTGTTGGAAGCAAGGCGGTTAAACTACTAGCATCCGGGTGTAATCTGAAGCCTCTCTTGGGTAAGAAAACACCATATTTTGTCTGGTTAAGGAGGACAAGGCTGTTAACACTTAATCCTCCCCATATAATTTTCTTTCCAAGTAAACTTAGCTGTTAAACCTCAAAGTTTCATGATCACCTTGTGAGAGAAGCAAACAGGTAACAAAGAAATGCAAACTGAAGGTAATCGAGCAACCTAAATTTATAGTAAAAGTGTCCATAATTCAACAGCAATACCAACTTAAGCCAAATCAATCGGCAACATGCAGCAACTTTTTTTTTTCTCATTTTCACTCCACACGGCCTCAAATTTCTCAGCTTTTCCCAGCACTATCTCAATCTTAGCTTTCTCGATCTGTCGACCCTTTTGATCCTCATGGGTGCTGAGCACAGTCGATGTCGTTATTCCTTTCTGGATTGCAAATCCATTTCGCTTCAGGATCTCAGCTATGGTGACAACAGTAGGAATAGCCATTCCTAAGCCGCAAAGTTCAACCTCGTTGAACTCATTGATGTACCTCTTGGAATTCAGATAGAAGACAAAGGGCTTGGTGATGGAGATTTGCACCTCCTTCTTCTGTTTCTTTTTCTTATCGTTCTTCATGCTCTTGGTGTCTTGGACTGACTCGACAGTTTCCGCTGGAGAAATGGTGAAAGCAACCTCGGCATGGTGATCAGCAGTGACAACTACATCAACAATAATCGGTTCCTTGTCGTTCTCTAAGTTGAAATCGCCGAAGATGATGGTCTCCTCGATCTTGGCTTCTTCTTTGGCCTTTGGGTTCTCTGATTCAACTCGTTCAATTGCAATGCTCAACTCCATGAGTGAAGAAACAAAAAGAAAGAAAATCTAGAAGCTTGAAAACAAAATGCCCAGAACCTTGGCAAAAGATACCATGTTAAGAATGCAGTAAAGAAAGAAGAATACTAGTATATTGATCATTGCACTTGGATTACAAGACTTCAACTGTTTATATACAGCTTCTAATGACTATTATAAGCCTAACAGTTTTTACAACCGATGTTAACAACCTTAATTGCTACTAACAACTTCAAGAAGCTGCTAACTATTTAACTAACATCACCATGCAGACTAAGCACGAGCATCATTGTTGCTGACTCATCATGCTAACAAGCACAAACTTTCGCTTATTATTTTGCCCTCTATTGTCCCCCATATAATGAGCATAATGGCCTTTTCTCCAACTGGTGAAGATGATAGTTGTGTTTGGCCCTGGAACACTTCTTATAACTTTAGTGTTAATTCGACTTATCATCTTTTGAGTGAAAGTAACTGGGAGGTTACTGATGCAAATGGAAACTCATTTGGTCCATGCCCAATCCACAACATGTCTGTGTCTTTCTATGGCTCATTCTTAGAGACAGGATAATGACCAACCAAGAGGGGCACCGTCGGGGTCTAACTGATGATCCTCTATGTCCCCTCTGCTCCACCGAAGATGAAACTATTCTCTATATTTTGCGGGATTGCTCGGTTGTCAAAGGAATATGGCTTCAGTTCATCCCTCCTTCTATCTCTACAAGTTTCTTCACAGTGCACCTCTCTGATTGGATCATGCTTAATTTTAGATGCAAAGAAAACTTTCTTGGTATGGATCTCCCTTGGTCTGTTTTCTTTCCTTTTTCTTATGGCAGATTTGGAAGAGTCGAAGTTGTTTCGTCTTCAACGGCTCGAGTCTTGGTCTTCATGATACTCTCCAAAACAACTTGTCTGGTCAGCCCATGTAGCAAATCGTCATCGCCCTGCAGCTTCCTCGATTATAAGGCAGGAAAGGCTGCTCATGTGGAGACCGCCAACTGACTGCGCATGGAGCTGCCTCAATACAAATGTCTTGGTCGACATTCATTCTGGCTTGATTTCGTGGGTGGTGTAACGGAGATTGGCTCATTGGCTACCATAAACCAATGGGAATCACCTCTACGCTCGTGGCAGAACGTATTCTAATTGGCATGCAACTTGCTTGGAGTCATGGCCTGGAACTCTTGCAAGTCAAGTCCGACAATAAACAAGCCATCAACCTACTCCTCGAACTGGACGCCTGTGCTGTCTTCCCTCTGGTTCGTGCCATCACCATGTTAACAAAGCGTAGTTCTTTGGATCCCTCGGGAAGAAAAGATGGTCACCGACGACATGGCAAAGCTTGATCTCCCCCGCAATTACACAACGAGCACCTTCACTGAGGCTCCAGACTCCATCAGACCATTAGTCGATAGAGACATCAATGGCCTCCCTTATGTTGTTCACTCTAAGAACTAATTAGGCAGATGCCTCCTTTATCATTAAAAAAATGTATAAGGAGGTGAAAGACCAAAGGACTAGACCAAAGGACTAGAAATTAAGATCAAAATTTCATTTTTTTTTAAATTTTATAAAATATTTTAGTGAAAATTACAAACAATAAAATCATTTTATTTTCTAATTTCTGCATATTTGTATTTTCATTTTCCACGGTCGATTTTCTAATGCTTCAACCAAATATGTTATTTTAGGTTTTCTATTTTTCAAAAGAATAAAATTTGAAACAACCTCTATTTTAGAAAATCAACACACCATAAGACCTTTTCTTTCCCATTTTTCTCTATTTTTCATCAAACACACCCTAAGAAAATAGTGGTGAAGTGGAAGTAGAGCATAAAGAATAACTTTGAGAAAGACAGTGTACAAAAATAGTGGATCATTTTAAATCATTAACAACACACCCCCTCTCTAGACGTAACTAATCGAACTCAGGACTTCAAGAAAGAATAATATTTCCTTTTAACTACTGGGACTATTCTATGAGTTCTGTATTATTATCATTTTAAAAACTCGTTAAAATTAATAAGATAAGTATTTTTAGTAAGTGTAACTTGTTATTCAATACAGATTGGTTCATTTAAAAGAATAATATTTATGGATCCACAAATAAGGACGAAAGTAGAATTTTATGTTAGGGAACAAACTTATAAAATTTGAAGAGAGGACAAAAATAAACATGAATAGAAAATACATGGAAAAAATTTAAAATCTAAAATAATTTGAAAATCAGATTTCAATTTAGACTATCTTAATTATTTGTCTCCAATATGTTGTTACTAAAATACCATAATTTTTATTGCTAACAAATTAATTTATCAGATTGATTCATTTTCTTCATAAAAATAAGGGTAATAGCAGAAAATATTACTACAATGAATACAAATCATTTAAAATTTTCACTAAAATATGTTATTAAACCTAAGATGATTACAAAGTAGTATTTATTTTAAATACTCTAAACTATTTGACAATGAACGTTCAATCACCCTTCTGTAGTCGTTGGTGTTCAAACCTATAGCCTCTAAGAACAAAAATTCCTTTAACAACTAAGATAAGTTGATTCGTGCTTCTATTTTGGATAATTAATTATAAAGCATATAGGTCCCTCTATAAATTACATTGAAAATCAATGTAGAAAAACAATCACAAAAAAATGAATTATCAATACTCTCCAATATTCCCATTACTTACATTAGCATTATTACTATTATCATCACATCCTTGTGGTGCTACATTACATTCTTCTTCTTCTTCCGTCTACAATTTTCTCCATTGCATTGCTAACAAATCCGCTCCACTGCTCCAATCAGTTTACACCCCTACTAATCCCTCTTTCGATCTTGTTCTTCGAGCACTTATCCAAAACCGTCGATTCTTGACGCCTCAAATGCCGAAACTGGTTGCCATTTTGGCACCTATTTGTGTCTCCCATGTCCAAGCTACTGTTGTTTGTGCCAGGGATACCGGCGTACAGATCAGGATCTGAAGTGGTGGCCACGATTACGAGGGCCTTTCGTATAGATCAAATGTCACATTTGTCATTCTCGACATGTTCAATCTTCGATCGATTAAAGTCGATGTTGGTAAGGAGGTTGCCTATGTTCAAGCTGGTGCGACGCTTGGTGAACTTTACTATAAAACTGCTAATCAAAGCAATGTCCATGCCTTCCCAGCGGGAGTCTGCACTGGTCTCGGCACCAGTGGTCATTTCAGTGGCTGTGGATATGGGAACTTGATTAGTAAATATGGGCTCTCAGTCGATAACATTGTTGATGCTCTAGTTGTTGATGT